CATCTCCTGTCATGTGACCTTTAATGAGTCCTCTTTTCCATTTGCAGCAGCCTTCCACAACCTCCCCCCTTGGATTTTGAGTTTCTGCACGCCTTCGCTAATACCACATCAATGCCCATAAGAGAGTCTCGGTCTTTGTTACCTATAGGTTCATCGTCGGCAGCTTCCATGCCCGTGCTCACTAAGGACACCCAAGCACCCCTGTCGACTGCACTGCCACGTGCAGTAGTCACCCTGGCACCGCCTTGACCACACTGCCATGTGTGGCAATTACCCCAGGCGCCTCCCTGACCACGGCAGTGTTCGGCTGGCATTAAAATGACACTGTAGCATCTGAAAAGTACTGTAGCAGCTGGAGAATAGTGAGAGAAAAACACTGCTCCGGCTGGAAAAAAAGGAAGTCCAGCCAGCCAAAAGTGGCCAGCCGAACACACCGCACACTACCACGTGTGTCAATCGCCTAGGGTGCGCCTTCGACCACACTGCCACATGTGGTAGTCCTCTCTGATGCATCACCGTCTACCCCTGCAGCTCTAGTGACTCTGGTGCCCTGTTCACCCACACAACCACGCACAACCCCCCAACTCTCGCATGTACCGGCCCGCACTTTCACACAAGTGTACACTCGTCATTGCCCCTCCCAACTCCGGTCTCAACGCTCTCTACACCCGCCACGGTACCCCAGCGACCGCTGTAAGTTCTCTCTATTTTTTAAATTATTCACCCCTCCTCTAGACGACATCTTTATCCTTTCACATAAAAAATAACAAGAGTGATTTGACGGAAGCCAATTGATTTTAGCAATATGGTTTTTATTTGCACAAGAGTGATAGAGCATAAATAATTTTAATTTTGCACAAGTCTAAATAATGTGCAATCAATGACCCATAAACAAATTAAACCTATTAAACTTGTAAAATAGGTTACCAATAAAACCTCTCGGTGTTCATAACTTCCATATACTAAACTATGCAACAACTCAATCAACTTCCTATTTTTTCATCACATTGATAGTATTTAAGTGATGACACTTATTAATAGGAGTTCTAGATGGTGCCTAACTTTCTACTATTAGTCAACTCCCTCTGTTTCCATATATGTCAATAGATTGTAATCATTTAAATGATAACAATTGATACAAAAAAGGGTACTACTTTGTTAGACTTGTAAAACAAAGCCTTGCCATTCAAAGATAAAGGAGAAGATGTTTATGAAACAACAACCTAGCAGAGAGTATTAGTATCAACCAACAACTAGAATGGGGAAAGAAGGAAATTCAACTCAAAGATCAAACCATGCCATGATATGCAAATGCAATGTTGCTTTCTATAACTTCCTAGAAACTAATTAAGCAAACAAATAGAGTTTTACCTCCAAGTTTTGTGCCTCATGAAACTGAAATGCCAAACTTTGTATACTGGTACACATCCTGAGCAGATGGAAACAACAAGCTCCGAAAGCATGTCTTCGGTTGACTACCATTAGTTTCAATGACATAATTTTAGGGAGCATTGTTATGTCTTCCATCACGTATTGTCTGCCAAGTCCTATCAATCCATAAGAAATTACTAGAAAAATTAGAGCTCATATGTAAAGGCAAGGTAAGAAAAAGAAAAGAGGAATCCAATTTTCCAATAAATGATAACCACACACAAATGGATCTTATAACCTGACATTTCCTATGCAAAACTAGCAATTGCACATCTAGACTGAATATGCTCAACCTCTATATAGGCATGCTTTAGTGTGAAGTCACTTCCCAGTTGCAAAATGTTGATACTAATAATACATATTGTGCGAGTACATACAAATCATAATTGCTCAAGTTTTAACCACTCGAATAGTTCATGTTCCCTTGAAGTTTTCACCACCACTGAGATGTATGAAACACTAAATAACTATAGCATACTAACTTATCAGAATGAAACTATGTGTATTCGCCTCAAGCATGACAATTTCAAAATAACACCACTGTCATGACAATTATTTCTAGCCCCACATGTTGCAATTTAGTAATTTCAAAACATATAGCTCCTTAATCAACTAGAAGAATTGTTTTAGTGCTAGAAAGTGAACCCCAACGTAAGCCACATTGTTTAACTATATATAGGGCACTCATTTTAATGTTAAAATCTTGAAATAATGTCTGCCTTAATTTAAGGCATACTACCTAAATCAAATACCACTTGAGTTAAAACATCTTGCATCTAGCGATGACACAGAGTCCAATTCCTATACGTATTGGGTTCCATTGCAACGCACGAGCACATTTGCTAGTAACTGTAATAACTCACTCCTTTTAAAAGACATATATATTTAAAAAAACTCCAATACTCCACTGACTCACCTTTTGAAAAACAAGCTTGAGGGTAAGTTTTTTGAGGACCTGAAATCGTTGTAAGAGCCTCAGGCAGTTGTCATTCAGCTCATTGTCTTGTTGCAAATATACATATAGATAGCTGCTCAGCTGTTTTAGTTGTTCCACATTGCCAAAATGCACATATTGTGGATCATACATATCATCCCAACCTAGGGACACAAGCTGAGGCGCTGTGATGTGAACAATTGGATCATTACCATTACCTTCGGCAGCACCAGCACCAGCGCCAGCACCACCATCACCAACCACAGCAACATCCGTATCAACGTCACCACCACCATCAGCACCATCATTCTCATAATCTTCCTGATAATAATTTTCAAGGCAAAAACCCACGGCTAACTGTTGTAGAGCCCAGGGTCACCATTGTGAGCCGCCGGAAGCCAACGAGGTGCGCCAGATGAATCCAAAGGAGGGACTCCGAGCTGATGGTGAGCCCACCATCTATGCCATGGCACGCCTGGAGACCAAGCCTTCGTAAGCTAGGGCAGCGAGGTGAGGAGACAACATCACCGAGCTCACAGGGGCGTTGGAATAAGACTCAAAAGAAATAAGACTCAAAAGAAGCGGATCTCAGAACCATTATCAGAAACAATACAGGATTAACCAAGATGGAGTGCAAGACCAATGGACCATCATTATCAGTACTTTAATGTAGCATCATACTGATTATCACTTCATCAATTTTTCTGTTTAGTTGGGATTATCAGATATTCTCACTACCAGCCTACAATAGAAGTCTATAGTAAAGGCATCTAAAAGATTAGGATTTACACGGAAGACGAGCCCAAGAAACAAGGCACATCCTGGAGGCACGCAACTCATACAACAGGAACATGAAATACCAGGGAAAAGAAGCATTTGGGCACGGGATCAGACTATTTGGGCAGAGTAATGATCGGCACTGGCAATTTGGCATACTGTCGAGAACGTTGTGAGAACGGAGGCTTTCACAAAATACAAGACAGTTACCTGCACAGAGATCCTGCTCGTCACTGATGCTACTCGCCTAGTCCACATCACCCTCCTGCTTTGCCATCCGATAGCTGCTGCTTCGCCATCCAATAGCTACTGCTTCGTAGTACAAGACATGGCTCTGTCCACCGCGGATTCAAGACATGGAGAGCTCAGAAAGGTGTGTGAGCAAGGGTAGGGTGAAAATCGAGCGTAGGCACACTGGACTTACCGGATGTGACTGTCGCAATCAGCCTTTGCCAACCGCCGTTGTGCCTGGCGTCGATGGTTGCCCTACGCCACGTCGAGGCTGCAACCGGGTTGCTACGCCCGCGCCGGGGAAGGGGGAGCCAAGGACGACAGCATGGGCACGCAGGGCGAGGACGACGTCGCGGGTGTCCACGGCGAGGAAGACGGCGCGGCGGAGCCAAGGCCGCGCGGGCACGCACGGTGAGGACGACGGTGCAGGCGCGACAAGGAGGAAGAGCAGCGGCGGTGTTCAGGCTTGGCTTCTCCTGATGACGGCGCACTGGGATTGTGGGGCTCGTCTGTTCGGCGCGTGTGACGATGATGCGAGTGCGACGGCGCAGGTGCGACGGGAAGGGAGAGGAGGCGGCGGAGTGGGCGCGCGGCGAGGGGCACGGGAGAGGGATCCTCGCGATGGGAAGGAGCGTGATTGGTGCCTGGATCTCGCGAGGGGCAGGGGAGTAGTGACACCGGGTCCACACTCCATACCCTACGCGAGGGGAAGCGTGGGAATTGCTGCGCCTGTGGATCGCACGCAGGCAAACTGACGAGACGAAGTTGAATTGTCGCACCAAACCGAGACGGAGGCAGACCCAAAACAAATGTCTGCACCAAAAAGTGTCCACGCTTTGTTCTTTTTAGTTATAGGAGATATATAAAGGCGATTGTGCAATTGTATTGACTGCATCGCTAGCTGACCATCATTGCCTGCATATATACCATATGAATTGCAATGTCTAGGCAACAAAGAATACAATTATATTAAAATGTGAAGTGCTCGCTTGCATCATGACTGGAAATTGGCAGGAAAGTATTACGGAACAAACAATTAATCTATGTTAGTCATACATTCTTTTTAAGTAGTAACAGTAACTTGTGGTTTATTTTCTAGATCATTTATGGTTGTACGTGGGTATATGTTGCGTGTGTACCTCTTATTATCTTGGTTGTGTTCATTTGACCATATATAGTTCCCACCTTTCCCCTTGTCTTACTGCTAATCACTGGGTGTAGTACAGGCTCCAGTAAAACTGTATTTTTATTTATGTGCAGTTCAACTTTAATAGTTAGCATTGATAAACACTTGGGGTAATAGCTTTTATGTTAAAGTGTATGAGCCATATATCTCACAGATATTGTAAAATGCAAAATTTGATGCACAGGATTGCCTGATATGCTAGCTAATATTTTACCGGGTTTCAAATATTTGTTAGATTTAAACACAAAACTGAACTGCTATCGAAAACAAATATAGATAGATTGAGTACAGAAAGCGATGCGCTGGCACTAACTCAAGTAATTTACTTTAACTTTCACAGATACTAGAAGGCGAAGGAAGCGTTCTCTTGTTATGCACAAGAAGAGGAGGAGGATACTGCCATTTGTTCCATCTAAAGATGGAGCTAGAAGACTCAAACAAATGGCGTCTTTGGCCACTGCTTTGACGTCTTCCAAAACAAAGTTCAGTAATGAACTGACTTACATGCCTAATACGGCTCCTAGATCTTCCAATCTGGCAAGTTTGGAGGTAGGCGGTATGCAGGTTAGCAAATCTTTTCACCTGAAATTATGTTATAACCATTTGGTGTTTTGTTGTTCTAATTTTGCTCTCCTCAACTTTCATGGTTCTGCCCAAGGAGGATAAGGAAGCTATAGAGCTGTTCAGAACCATGCAACAAAGAGGTGAATGCCCTCCACTTCTCGTGGTCTTCGATTCCCTCGAAGGGTATTGTCCTGAACTCACTACACTAAGTTATTTACTTATTGGAAATTTATCTATTTAATTCAGAGTTTACAGTGTTGCTCCCAAACTTTGCTATTTGTGTGCATGCCACTGGAACTTGTGTGTGCAACACTACCCTCAGTCTTCCAGTGCCACACACTATACACACAAATGGTAAGAGCAAAACAACGAACTCTATGGCGTACACGCACAAACACTTTTTCCATTATATTTTTATACACAAAAATGACACTTAAGCATATATATTTCCAGTTTCACTGTGCAGGCTTATCGCAATATTAAGGATATGACCTTCCTCGCCGAATATGCTGGGGACGTCGATTACCTGGAGAAGAGAGCAAACGATGATATTGACTGTATTATGTCGCTCCTCCTGACAGCTGACCCATCCCAAGGGCTGGTCATTTGCCCTGATAAGCGGGGGAACATTTCTCACTTTATCAGTGGCATCAATAACCACACACAGTAAGTTGTTTGTTTTGTATCCACAAGTCTAGTTTGCAACTGTTGTACTGAGTTGTCAACTCAAAGAAAGGATGTGTGTATTCTAACTTTGAAACTATTGTAGGGATGGCAAGAAGAAGCAGAATGTCAAGTGTGTGCGGTATGACATCGATGTGGAGAGCCATGTCTTGTCGGTGGCCTGCCGTGATATAGCTTGTGGCGAAAAGCTATATTACGATTACAATGGATACGAGCATGCTTATCCCACCCACCATTTCCTCTAACCAAACCCCAACAATTTTGACTTGACCAGTAGTAAAGGAGGCTAGGTGAAAGATGGTTTGGTGGCAATTAATATTTCCAGCTTTGACACCAAAAACCGAAATCCTGTAACTTATACTGCTCCATGGTACGAAGGACAGATTTAATCCAATTTTCTGAAGAGATCATAATGACAGAAATTGATAGGTGTTCTTAGCCTAGTTATAGGAGCCAAGAGGAATATTCATTGTCCCCGCTCTCAAGATTCATCTTCCCATTCATATTCTTTTTATTCTATATACGGGTTCCTACCCCTTTTGTGAGAGTAAATAGTTGTCTATGTGTCTCCTATTTATATAAGAATGTTGGAAAAAGAAGAAGAATGTTGTAGTAGCTAGAGTTAACTCTTGGGGCTGTTGTTGGTTAAATGTACATTTCGAATGGTTAGAAACGGATGGATGTGCAGGTTTTCGTCTCTGTAATGTTCTTTCAACTTTTCACCTGTTGCGATTGTGTTGCTTACACACACACGCGCACACAATGCACACACGCACACACGACACACGCACACACGCACCCACCCACACACACCCACGCACCCACCTTCTGCTCCGCCCCATCACCGCCAAGGTCCCCCGGCCCCTGGTTCTACCCTCTGCGCCCTGCCCGCCATGGCCCCCAAGAGTGCACTTTTATTTCTCCGCCCTCCTCGCCACCTCCATCTCGCTGTTTCCCTCCCCCACACTCCTTTCTTTGCCTTCTTTCCTTCCTGCCTTGTTACACTATATCTCTCACTGTTTTTCCTCCTTTTGTGGGGGATCTTTAGGTTTCCCAGTGAAGCAGACCAAGATCGTCAATATCTTCGGGATTCAGAAGGTTGAGAAGGATGCCCAGGCCACCAAATGTAGGCTCTCCTAGGGTAATTCATTCCTTCCACCTGCGTGCACCATTGCATATAATTTAATAATGTCGTATGAAATGTGAGACCATTTTCCCTCATTGCTTGTGTTGGATGATCCATGAAGCGGTGGCTTCTCTATTGTTGAATTCGTTCTGCTCATAGATTACTTTTTAATTGTTGTTGGTTATCTTGCACTCTGGTATATTTTCTTTCTTTGTCTGAATGTCCTACATTATCATCTGTACACCTTCGATGCATCTGTCAAGAGCCACTCCAGTACAAATTCTTGCTAGTACGTCATCGATCATGTCTTTTCTGGGTGTTGTACGTTTGATTGTGCAATTGTATTGACTGCATGGCTTGCTGATCGTTGCAGGATTGCCTGCAAGTATACCCCTATATGAATTGGAAACTCTAGGCAACAGAGAATATAGTTTCAGTTAAACTGTGGCATACTTGCTTACATCATGAATGGAAATAGGCGGGAAACCATTGTGTTGCTTACACACACACACACACACCTTCTGCTCTGCCCTATCACCGCCAAGGTCCCCCACTGGCCCCTGGTTCTACCCCGCCTGCGCCCCGGCCCGCCTGCCATGGACCTAAGAGTGTGCCTTCACTTCTCCCGCCCTCCTCGCCACTTCCATCTCGCCGTTTCCCTCCCCCGCGCTCCTTTCTTTGCCTTCTTTCCTTCCTGCCTTGTTAGGCTATATCTCTCACTGTTTTTCCTCCGTTTTGTGGGGGGTCTTTAGGTTTCCTGGTGAAGTAGACCAAGATCAGAAATTTCTTTGGGATTCAAAAGGTTGAGCAGGAGGCCCCGCCAAATGTAGGCTCTCCCAGGGTAATTCATTCCTTCCACCCACATGCACCATTGAGTTGCATAATTTAATAATGTCGTATGAAATGACCATTTTCCCTCATTGCTTGTGTTGGATGATCCATGAAGCGGCGGCTTCTCTATTGTTGAATTCGTTCTGCTCATAGATTACTTTTTAATTGTTCTTGGTTATCTTGCACTCTAGTATATTTTATTTCTTTGTCTCAATGTCTTAAATTGTCATCTGTACACCTTTGATGCATCTGTCAAGAGCCACGCCAGCACAAATTCTTGTTAGTAAGTCGATCATGTCTTTTCTAGGTGTTGTACGTTTGATTGTGCAATTGTATTGATTGCATGGCCTGCTGATCGTTGCATGATTGCCTGCAAACATACCCCTATGAATTGGAAACTCTAGGCAATAGAGAATACAGTTTCAGTTAAACTATGGCATACTTGCCTACAACATAAATGGAAATAGGCGGGAAACCATTACCGAAGAATGATTTAATCGATATTAGTTATGCATGCTTGCTAAGTAGTAACGAAAAGTTGCAGTTCAAACAACACGTGAGTGTGTGCGCCCACGTGTGTTTGGAGCTAGCGAGCCAACGGGCCACTCTGCTGGAGTCCCCAGCCATTCATCATTAGACATTAGTGTCTATCCCATTATCCCACGACCGACGATGGCACACAGTGCTAACGTGACTTCTAGCGAACATTTCTACAACGTGGAGTGGTGCAAGAACTCTTCGAATCTTACATCTTGTTACAATAGTAAAGCCAGACTACTTTTGGAAAAATAAAAGCCAAAATGCATTTAGCAAGAATGTTGTGTGTGTCTGTGTGTCTATGTATTGATGTGCACTTGAGGCTCGTACGGCTGGTCGGGAATATGCCGTTGTTTCGCCTAGCATTCTGAAGCTTACTTTAATTGTTTTATATGAGAAACTCCAAATCTTGATACATTTTTTTAGTTAATCCAAATCTTGATACATGACCTTAGGGTGGTGGTGAAGTTATGGTTCAAATCATGATACACACATTTGAAGGAGTATGCATGTGTGTTTCTCTAAGAATTTACCTATGCATCGTGTAGTTCGCAAAAAATCATATATTGCATGACTTTTAACTAATGACAGATCAATTTTGAAAGAAAATCTTCGATGTGGTGGTGGAGCTGTTGTTGTACGACTTCACCTATTAATGTTTGGTGTATATTGGCATTCATGCTCTCATTTTGAAGGGAAATGGTGATGTTGCCCTTATTTTTTAAACTTTGTGATTTTACCCCTGTGTTTTAAAACTAAAGACATCGTTCCAACATCACCACCTCAAACCAAAGGAGAGCCATTGCCTTGTATGCCGCTGCTTGAATTGCCATCTCCATAGAAATGTCCTGACCCAAAGATTGTCCGGTTGTGTCACTCGTTCAACTAGGTGCTTTGGGATGAACAGGGTAGCAACATAGTCCACCATGCACGCCCCACGCACCCTCGCATAGACCGTATACTGGGTCAATATGAGAATTTGTCCTGCCATAGCATCTCGTTAAGGAGTACATGGAAACCCTCCACCCCTACGTCATGAGTCACCGTGATGATCCTCCAAGTGTTGATCTATTCATGGAGGAAAAGGTAAGTTAGAAACATATTACAGGACATGATATGATGATGAAGCACAAAAGCAAGGTAAGATCTAAGATAGATAAGAGCTACATGAACTACGGAATATAGCCTTACCCACTCAATTATTAATTAAGCAAGGTTATTATCAAGTGTAGTCGTTTCAGCTTTAATCATGCCTCACATTAGTGTGGTAAAAGTGCATGAAATGCAACCATAGCTTGGATGCTATACTATGAGAAACCGCCCCAAATAACCCATTTAAACCAAGCTATCGACCCTTCTTATCGGCCCAACTTAAAGGAATTCATCCCTTGTAGTCCTTGGGACACACCACAAGCATGCTTTACAAGCACAAAATAAATATGTTGCATGCCCCCACACAATTACACCACATGGATCACAAGATATTTATAAAAGTGGTTCAAGTGTAAATCACATTATTTTTTAGAGTTTACACAACAAAAGTCTAAACATCACACACTCAAACGCATTACTACATAACATAAAACATGGAGTGTTCATTTCCAACACATGTCCATCATAAAAGGTCATCGGCCATCACTCTTCACCCGTGCCATGGTCCTTTGGATAGAAGTATTTGAAGATGGGTTGTGGTTCACCTGCAAAACAACTCATCAATAGCACCCTTGACATCCACCCGATAGACGCACGGTGCAAGGCTCCATCCACCAGGTTCTACAACATAGTCTTAGATTTTCGCGCTCCTGGCAGTCGCTCCCCGCCTCCTGTTCCCTCACCACTGCTGAGCCCCCGCATTCTTTGGCTGTCCCCTAGGGGCTGCATGCAGTTGCCCATGTCGGTGTCAGCAACAACAGCCTTGATAGCCCCTACCACAGTAGTAACTTTGAGGAGGTGTAGAGCGACAGCTCCTCCCTTGACTGGCATGGGCACATCCATGTCGCTGAGGTTTGGGTTGGCCTGGCCGCCCGGGCCTCCAAGAGGTCGACAATCTACTGTCCTTTGCCTACATTGAGCTAGCGGTCCTAAGTCCTAACTGAGGATGTTACCCTGTTCCTCCGTGTGTCCCTCGCTTTGGTCGCCCCGGGGATGGCAGTTGACCTATTTCCCTCTTCACAGTGGGCGATGCTGCTCCGATGCGCTTCCTACGCAGACTCTGACCTCCTGCACAGTCGTAGCCCCATTGAACGTGATAGGGTCACGCGCACCCTACAACGCCCTGAGGAATCCTCCAACTGCTTCTTCAGAGTGTCGGAGTGGCTTGCTTTTCTTGCGGTAACTGACTACCCCAACTCACCCTTGTTTACTGCCCTACAATTGTTTGGCCTCGCCACCATGCTCGAAAAGCTTTTCAGCAATTGCTCACAAAAACCCACTTGCCTCCACTCCATCAGCTACACCCACGTAGTACGCAGACAAACTCCACCACCCCTATGTCACCACCCAGGACCTTCTGCTCGAAGACACTAGCCCTCTCACCTCATGGACGTTCTAGTGGGGTGGCTCTCCCCCGGCAACCTGCTTTCATCAAACGCCAGAGCTCCCACTTTGTTATTTTTGAAGACGTCACCAGAGGGTTGAGAGCCCCACCTGAATGATTTTCCATTGATACCGGGCAAGCCGAGGGATGGAGGGTGACGAGCACCTAATACATGGGCGATCCTTGAAGGTCAGAGAAGTACATGAGTGGGAGAGAGAAGGATCACAACACTACACATCAACAACAACAACACAACAACAACAAAACAATAACAACATGATTTATCTACCAGCTCACCTACTAACCGACGCGAATGCAAACACTACTTCCTAACATATCCCACCATCAATGATAGACTCCAAAGAACTCTAAACCACATGCAACTGTAACGCATTGAGTGGGATCCGACAGATGACAACCAAGATGTTGTAAGGCATTAAGTCGAAGCCAACAAACGGTAGCCGTGAGATGCATCGCCTATGAGAGCATCTGGTTCCAACCGACGCCCACCAACACCATTTGGGGGGAGGAAGCCTCAAAGGGGGAGGACCACCAAGAGGAGAACTGGGAGATCCAGAGAAGAGATCAAGTTCCCGCAGTCCAGCATGTGATGAGGCGAAGCACTCAAATGAGCTAGAGAATAGCATAGCAAGCTATTGACGGCGAGCACCTAACAGCAAATAGTGTGCGCAAAGGCCAAGGGACAATAGGGTAGCCAGACAAGGGGAGGGAGAGCACAAGGAGTAGGAGGGTAGTTGAACTAGAGTGGGGAGAGATGGAAGAGAAGTCACGAGGAGCTCAAAGTGGCGTCGAAATATGGGCGGCCGTAGGTGTGCGTTAATGACGCCTTCAACAAGGAATGTGACGTTCACCGACGTCACCATCGTAGGCTGAAGCTAGAAGGGCTTTTGCCCCTAGATATGCTCCGTCGAGTGGTTAATAGAATCTTCAGCAACGCCTCCAAGGAGGGATATGATGACAAATGCGCCATCGTCGGCGGACCGGACAAGGCTTTCGCCTAGATTCCATACCGACACAGCATGCCTAACTTGGCCACCACCAGTGGCTGTGCGTGAACTACAGCCAGCCATGGCTCCGCTAGGAGTTGGCCAGCCATAGCCCGACAGCCATGGCCCTCGGCCAGACACGGCCAGGCCAGTGACGGCCGCTGGTTCACCTAGAGGTGGTGGGGCCCAGCTGCCATGGCTCCCAAATCCACCGCGGTCGCCGAGCTGGACGCCGGGCGTAGCAGGAGGAGTCTCGCGCTGCCGTACCTCGGAAACCTCGGCAGCAACAGCCGCCCACCCTCGCCTGGTCCTCGTAGCCCGGCCATGCCGCTTTGCCCGATAGCGCTGAATCCAGGGTGGGGGCGCCGGCTCGGCCCGGGAGGCACGAATCCGGTCGCTGCATGCTCCCGGTCGGCCATCCAGCCACTGACAGCACCACAACATCAACGCTCGAAGCGGAGTGAGACGGCGTGGACGCACAGAGATCGCAGCACCCGGCAGAAGGACCGTGTCGCCGTGGAGCACATCTGGAGGCACATCCGCCTCCGTCTGTGAGGCCCGCGGCTGGGTCCCACCTCCGGCCGCGCCTAGTCCCACGACCGGGGGAGCCGCACACGCACCTGCAGGCCGCCTCGCCCATCGGCGCCGGAGCCGCACCCGCACGCTCTGTCAACTAGCGCCACCACCTCACGTTCGCCTCGAATGCCAGAGATCCACCAGCGCCTCCGTCTCTCTATGGCCACCGTCGTCGCCCCCGCAAGAAGTGGAAGTCGCGCCAGCGCCACCGGATCCATGGCAGGGGTCACCGGATCTGGCCACAGGGCCACCGGATCCGGTGAAGGCCGCACCAGAAGCGTCAGGAGCAAGCCGTAGCTGGCCACTGCGCCATGGTCATCACCAGCAGGGAGAGAGAGAGAGGAGGAGAAATCAGGATTTTGTCTAAGGTATGCTGCCCAAAATTTTTCATATATAATTCAGTAAATCCATTTCAACAATTCGTTAATAATTGTAAAATTGACAATATGATTCAGTATATATGCACTAAATAATACAATAAAGCTTAAATTCATGGATTAAGTTCAAACCATCCATTAAGTATAGTATAAATAGTTTAAAAGCCACACCGATAATTGAAATAAGGTATAAAAGAGAACCATAGACTTATAATGCTATTTTTGTGACTATTTTATTCGACGCTTTCGAAAGGGACATAAATGTATTGATTATATTATCTTCATCAACTTCAAAGAAAATATCTCGATCAATGAAAGTGACTAGACAGTCATCCAGAAGACTATCTCCCATCTTATTTATTAACTTTGTTTTCACAAAAACCATTACCAAAAATACCCTTTGAACACTTGCCGTTGCCACAGGTAGAAACAATACCAATTTGAGGAGCTCATAAACCATATCATACACTTTGTGCCTCTTTATTTCAACAAGCTTAACTGAGATATCAACAATATTGTCTAGACATTTGAATCTATCATCCTGTCTCATGTCATCAATATAATTATCTAGCTGCAATTCAAGTTTGAGCAAATTATTATTTGAGAACTCCTTTGGGTAGAACTCAGCTAGTCTACATAGCTTCTGTGCATTAAAAGAAGCAAATGACATGAAAGGACTGAAGGCCGACATACAAGACAACAACTTCATATTAATCTCGTCAAACCGATTATCAAGTTCTTGACTTATTTGATCAATGACACCAATATATACTTATCTTCTAAAGTGGTCATCGTTGGTTTGCTTTCGGGCACGAGCTTTCCTCGCTGATTTTTTCAGCGAAGCGAACGAGGCCTATAAAGCAAAACACAGCATCCTTCTTAATACTATACTCAAGCCAATCATTATTGTACATCCAACAATAGTTGAATCCCCAATCCCTATCTGAAATCTTTCTTTTTGGAAAATCATGTGCAAAAGGTTTGAATAGGTCTGTAATATTATATGCTCTTCGAATTGCATCTTGATCATTAACAGGATATTTTAGAATATGACGTCTTTCAGCTGGATCATGTGGAAGACGATTGATGTCATAAACTGGTGGCAATGAAGACGGTTGTGGCGGTGGCGGTGGCATAGGATGTACAATTTCCTCAACTACTCCCTCATGAGTCTGCTCTTCCACCATAGGTTCAACCGGATCAGGATTAGAAGTAGCAGTAGCTGCCGTTGCCTTCTTCTTTGCTGCATGCTTGTGAAAAAGAGATGCAATGTCCCCGTTTCTCTTCATAACTGCATAAATATTAAATATTACAAAGAACACAGTGCCAAATAATTAAATAAATTGCGCTTGCACGATTGAACTCTCACATGTGATTATGGATCACTCACATGATATGAGTACTGAACAAAAGATCAATCTAGATCGACTCTGATGTTGGGAAAAATCCTCCACCTCACCACATGATAGATGATTCTATAATTTTAGCGCTAAACAATTAGCAATTAAAAGTACACATGAATTTTTTAAAAAGCAGAAAACAAAGATTGAATCTCACCTGAACAATTCCGATCACAAATTCACCTAGATGCCGGTGGCCGGTGCCGGGGTCGTAGGATGGGGCGAAGGCCGAACGGGACACGAGGTCACAAGGACGAGTGACCTGTGCCGTCGTAGGGTAGGGCGACAGCCGACGGCGTGAACGATCTGTATTGGCGTCGGTGTAGGGCAGGGCGAACACTCGAAGTCCAACCGACGCGCTGCCTCGATCCGTAATTCCGTATTGGTGTCGGCGTTGTCCCTTGATCCCGTCTCCGTCGCTGGCCGCATGGGCCGCGTTCCCGCTTGGGCCTCACGCTCGCTCGCGGCTCGCGCTAGCACGCGCTCAGGCAGTCAGGCTCGGCTCTCGTATACTACAGTAGATGAGTGTATATGTGTATATATACTTGCTCTGTTGTCGGAATTGCAGGGTATGCCGGTGCATACCCGGCATACCCTGTAGCTCCGCCACTGGGAGAAATGGCCCCACTGCACGGGCATCCGGCAGCCTGCTTCGGCGGCGGCGAGCTAGGGCGAGGGGGCGGAGGGGCCTGCCCGACGACGGGGGAGGAGGAGCACCGCCCGAGCCGCCCAAGAGAGCGACGCCAGAGGGAAACATTTGGTTTGTTCATTCCCACTTTGCTGTTAAAAACATTGGTAAATTTGTTGAAATGACGGATAAGGCTGTCCAGCTAAAGGCTTGGCAGAACTCCCTTGCTTCCGGCCCAGCGGCTGTCCAGCAGCTTGTGTCTCGTCGTGGGCTTCACTCCCGGAACAAGTTCCCCATCGTTGTCCCCGACCTTCGCAAGCTTGTCCATGTTGCGGGTCTGGGCTGCTCGACTGCTGAGGCTGTTGGGACGGTGCCGCCTTCCATCCTGTGATGGCCTCCACTGGCTTCCCAACCACGACGACGTGTGTTTCTTCGCTATACGCCATGCGACACCCTCATGTGACACCCTAAAACTTTACACGCTGGATTTAATCAAGGCTATAGTGACATGCAAACATTCCATTGTTGAGTGGCAACATACTATGCCATACACTGAAGAAATTTACAAATGATATGAGCTCGGCCATATGATGCAGTGAGGTGCTCGTGTATGTGAGCGTCTACGTCTATAACTAGGTCCCGCAAAAAAAAAAGTATAACACTAACACAATAACCTCTTATGAGCCACACATAGCGCTGGTCTTATGGTGCAGATAAGTATAACCACCTCTTGCCCACATGTCGGCAAAACACAAATCCTTGCCTTGCTTTCAGTAATTGAAGCGCCGAATGTTATTCTCATCTGCTCTAGAACTGACACCCAACTGAATAACATTATACATGTAAAATTCCATGCATGTTTCTGGCCTGGAGAAGCTTCGGACCATCTGGCACAACTCCTTGGCCACGCTTTCAGTCATCAAAGGATCAAAAGTCACTGTGATCTTTTTTAGCACTGTCGCCCAGCTGAATAGTTGCTTCAATAAAGTAACTTCATGTTGAGATCCTCTCAAACAATTGATTTCCACTTCTTGGAGGTGATCCAACAAGAGTTCCTCAGTTTTCCAGTGTTCTTGCTCATTACAAATGCAACCAGGTAGGCAAGCAGGTTGTACCTGAAACAAGGGTTGATATTGACTTCGTAAGACTAACTGATAAAGAGTTGAACTGGACGAGATTGCCATGAATATGTTATCAAGACATCATAAACATTTGCAGAAGGGGATCCGGATAGACATTAGCCTGAAGCAATCAGGTTGCTGTAACACACAACTGCTCTGAGCTAGGTGCCTAGGAGGAATTGATATAATAAACTTATAAATATGATGTTAAAGAAAATTCCACAAATCCTCTAGTATCATGCTACAAACATCAGGAAGTAAAGAAGTTTTTCTGTTAACCGGCTTATTAGGGATTAAATTATCCAATTTGAACCATAGGAAGTTTGAATAATCATGTACCCAAGCTTGCTGTTGGTGTCTCCTAACGACATGTTGATGATGCCTACCCAACAACAACACAGTCAATTCACTAGCATCTAATTCAACGAGGGTCACAAAAAAATAAAAAAAGCAACACATATTTGCAACCCACACGGTATTACTATTCAGTCAGAACTCAATACAAAGCAAAGTGCCGTCATTAGGATAGACATATGGAGTTGCCACAGAAACTTTGCAGCACAAATTATAAGCATCAACCAACGCCTATAGCCACTAGCAGATCAGGCTTTAATTTGTAGAACCAAGAAATCCAAATGAATATTATATAAAATAACGGGATAACGATTACCAACAAACTGGGGCTAGAAAGGTCCAGGGTCAGCTTTTTTATACCAGAACACAGCCTGAGAACATGGAATAAGCTGGCCCCAAAGGCATGTTCGTTTGCAATTATACTCACATCCAAAACCATAATGTCTGGGAGCATTGCCATTTCTTCCATCAAGTATAGTTTGTCATCAATATTCTGTTCATCCAGAGGAAGTCACCATAGAAATAAGGGATCATATATCAGTTTGGAAATAGAGAGTTAGAGTGAAGACTGAGAATGCCCAGAAATGTCGCAGGGACATGAGCAAAGCTAAAAAAGGGAAATCTTCATGGCAGAATTTCTCACAAACCATGATCATCGATACAATTGTGTATACACCACATGTTGAATTGGACAAAAAGGTCTAATCACAAACCCTATTTTTTCATTATAGTGCACTTGTCTCAATTTCAGAGCAAAGCTAATCTGTTCTCCAGATATAGTCTCATAAATAGTGTGCTTCATCGCAATTTCTTAATTCTGTCAGTTCTGTCTAGATTAGGAAATTATGTGAATGTTTATTGATCTAACTAGTATGGGTGTCAGCGTCCAGCTCTCAAATCTGTGCCAACCTAGATAAAGTGATCAATAAACATAGTAGAAAAGAAAATTACCATGACAACAGAACAATTTCCAAATAAGAGAGGAAAGCAAGTGAACTCACCGGCATATAGGCTAGTGTGAGGCAGAGACATTGGATGGTCTTAAAACACCGCAAGAGCTCTAGACAGTCTTGATTGTCTATGGCCGGAGATCCATACACAAGAAGTATCATGGGGCACACACTCTCCAGATGCTTCATCGTACCAAGGTGAACAGAGCTCGGATCAAACAGATCCCCCCACCTGAGCACCTTCAGTGCAGGCGCTGAGATGTCAGCAACTGGCTGAACCCAATCAGAGATGAAGCAGGCGAGCACGCTCAGGTACTCAAGCGCCGGCGAAGCCACGGCGAGCCGCTCCAGACCGCGCACCTTGTCCAGCGTCATCTCCCGGAGAGAATCCGAGCGGATCGTGAGGTTGTCCAGGCCCAGGCGCCGCGGACCGTGAGCTTGAGCAGGCAGGGGCACCGCGGGACGAGACGGCGTCGCCGAGCGCGCACGGGCCGCGGAACGGGACGCGGGTCAGGGAGATGTCGGTGAGCCGAGCGAAGACGCCGGCGGCCGGGACGGCGAGGCTGAGGCCGCACCCGAGGTCGAGGTCACGCCGGTGGCGCTCGCCAGGCAGGGCAGCTCAAGGGGCCTTTCCTCACCGCCGCCGGCGCCGTCATCGTCGTCGATGTCTCTCTCCAGCGAGTGGTTCGTGAAGCTGAGGTGGCCGGTGAGGCGGCGCGCCACGGCGGGGAGCCAGGCCGCCACGGACTCGGCGTCGGCGTCCAGTGTCCCCACGCTGAGGTAGCTGAGCGCCGCTTCGTGGGCGGCTAGCGCTGCAGCGACGAGGCGGGGCTCGGAGCAGAGAGGGAACCGGAGCTCGGGGAGGAGCAGCCAGAGGCGACGCCAGCGGCTCGACAGCACGCTGGTGCGACCAGCGGCGGCGGCGTCATCGAGGCGGAGGAGGATTCGGGTCAGGACGTCGTCGGGGAGAGAGCTGAGGTGGTCCACGCCGGCGTCGTCCTCGGAGGGCTTGGCGGCGAGCTGGCCGCCGATCTGGGTTGCTTCCATCGGAAGCGAGGGGATTCAGGCGGCTACTCTCGCTTTAGGCTACCTCCAACAGTGCAGATCCAGATACTCATTCCATGATTTAATCAAGTAAATAAGTCACGCACCTATACCATATCTTCTCAAACAGCCTATGCAAAATCCTCTCCTGCTCCCTCTCCTCTCTCTTTCCGCTCGATCCCTCTCTTCTCTCCCCCAGGCGACAACCTCACAGCGCCGCTCCTTCCCGCCCCTCCGCTTCCGCGCCTCCTCCTCTACCTCCGCGCCGCCCCAAGTCGACCGGCGCGCTCCCCCTTGACCTCCTCAACATGGAGCCTTGGCCACCCGGATCTGGGGCATGTGACACCTTTGCTCGGGCGTCGGCGGCTCCTCTGCCGTGATCGCGCCAAGGCTGGCCACACTCCTCTCCACGTCGGCGGCTCCCCGGCGCGGTCCCGCCTAGACGCGCAGGCCACGCCCGCTGCGGACCCGCCTTGCCCCGCTCCCTGCCTTGCCCCGCCGGCCGCGCCCCGCCGTGAACCCGTCTGGAAGCTCCGGCGGCTCCCCGCCGCAGGCTCGCCTCGCTAGGGATCCATCGGGCGTCAGAGATTTGCGTCTTCTCCTTGGAAGACACTTATTTGCCTTTCGTTTCGGGTGCTATGCAAAATGGGTGATCTGTTTGGGTGCTCCATTGGACCATGTTTCTGGCTACACAAAACACTGTGTACAACTCATTTTGTGTCTAGGTAACATTATTGGAGATAGTCTTAGCGACGGGAAATATACTCCTATATATATCTACAACCAAAAGAAACACTTTATCTTTAAAAAAATGATGATGATATAATTAAGACATCCGGACGATGCCTTCCTCCGCTAACTCTCGCACACGCCACTCGTCCAGCGACCCTATCCGCTCGACCTGTCTGTGTGCCCCGATGCTCACTGCGCCGTTTCCGCCATGTATCGCCGTGCCCATCCGCCCACCCCCACTCCGCCTCGCCGTCGCCGGTCCCCCGCAGCGCCCCATCCCCTACGGCCTCCTCCGTGCTGCCTCCCCACGCTGCCTCCTCCATGCTGCATTCCACACCGGACCCAGTCTGCCTCGCGGGATTCCACCGCAATGCCTCCTTGCTGCGACCGCCTCCGAGCTGGCTAGCCATGGCCGCCTCCACCGAGCCGCGCGAGCCTCCACGACGGATGCTCCAGCAAGCAGGTAAGGGGAACGAGATTCGTGTGACGCCGCGCCGGCTGCCGAGTTGCCCGTGCCACTGTCGCACAACGAGGTCTCTGCGCCGCCGTCGACCTCCGCGTCGGCATGCCTCCATTCGTCCAAGCAAAGCTCATGATGCAAGAGTATGTTTCAAATGTTTCAGATGTTTCATGTGGATGTTGCAAGTGTTTCATCTTGATGTTGCAAAAGTAGATCGGAATGTTGCACATGTTACAGTGCCATACACGTATGTTTCAAGTTTACGTTCCGAATGTTTCGTCTCATTTTCCATACGTATGTTTCCAAGTATTTCATCCGGATATTGCATATATTTTCACACATATGAAGTGTTTTCAGGTGTTTTGTCCAAGTGTTTCATACGCATGTTTCGAGTGTTTGAGTTGTTTCGTACGTATGTTGTAAGTGTTTCATTTGGATGTTTCAGAAGTAGGCCTGGTGTTGCTGCTAGTGTTTCAGATGCATGTTTCATGTGTTTCATCGGCCTTCAAACGTATGTTGCAAGTGTTGCATCCGGATGTTTCAAAAGTAGATTGGACGTTGCATCTTTGTCTTGGCTTTTATGTTGCCTCACCTTCGTCTCGGTGTCTCCTCCTCCTCCTCCCGGCGCTGGTTGGGCATCCGCTGCCCCTCGCCCTCTTTTGGATGCTGGCGTACTGCTGCAACTGCTGGCCGCATGCATGCATGTGAGAAGCGGAGGGTGCGCGAGCGAGGACTCCCCACGTGCAGTTAGGTAGCACGGGCCCCGCGTAGGCGGGCACGGGATGGAGATGCGCGAGGGGAGACGGAGGGCAGGCGTGGACATCTGGACATGGGCATCCGTCTGGACATTCAGGTGCTAACTAACACTGCCGTTAAAAAACATCAAAATTATAGTTATCTTTTTTAAAATATGGTGCAACTACGTAGTTATGGGCCTGTTCGCTGGTCGGTGCTGGTGCTGGTTTGGGCTGACTGGTGCTAGTTTTTTGTGAGAGAAAAATACCGTTGGTTGGCTGGTTTGGGCTGGCTGAAACCAACAAGCGAACAGGCTGTATACCGCCCACATGGCCCTATATCATTTGTCCTCCTAAATAGCTAATTTTGAAAAACATCACAAAAAGGACAATTCGGTTATCTGGTCTTTTCTTCCATTTGTTACGAGTCACTTGACAGCAAAAGGACAATACGGTTATCTGAATGTTGACAGCGTGTTTATTTTGGCCGAGCATATAGCTTTTTTCAAAAGGTCCTTTTTCCATGATTTTGTCGCGTCAGGATCTGTCTATCCCAAAAGGGAAAAAAACACCACTAGAAATATCTAGCGCGTGCACTTTTAGTACCATCCAAATGTCAACCTATTTGGCTGTGCTTCACAGTAAATTGCTTACTTGTTTTACCTATCTCAATAACTGCCTTTTGGCTTTTGACTATGAAGAGGTAGCTTTCTCCCTCTTTGTTTTAATAATAAAAGTTAAGTAGGGGTATTGCAGCCTCCCTGCTTGCCTCCTTTTTTTTTTGGACATTATGCTTGCTTTTAGTGGCTTCCTAATAAACTGAATAGGCAAACATTCTGAATGCCCCTTATTAGTGATTTTATTTGTTTCATTAAACTCTGATTTCTTCGCATATATAAACCCGACAAAGTAATTTGCATATTTGTCGAAATTTTCCCATTGTCAATAGACCCCCCAAAACCAGACCAGTTGAGAACAAAAATCGTCATAACAACCAAATCGTCATTTTCAGTCGCTGTTCCTTTTTGCACAACAACCAAATGGTCACTTTCAGAGCGTGCAGGCAGCATCAGAGAGAGACAACTATGTGTATTGTTACTGTTTCGTTTGGAGTTTCCTGTGGGCTGTGGCGAAGAAGGCAACACTCCACCACTGTTCTCTAACTGCCAAGCCCTTAGCAGTGAATGATGTGAAATGATTCCTCACGCGGAGAGAATAGCAAAAACATCTTTAGTGCCGTCACCACAAGGATAGATGAAACTCACTTTCGCTATGAATCGAATGGATGGCTATGGAGGTTTTGGCCATGTTCGCTTGTTGGTTTCAGTCAGTCTTATTTAACCAGTCAACAGTATTTTTTTCTCACAACAAATCAGCATCAGCCAGCCCAAACCAGCTCAGAAACCAACCAGCGAACACGCCGTTTGCTGTAAGCTCAAGAGGGAGGGACCCACTATCTCCACTCAACCCAGTACTGTGGTGGCAGTCTGAATCTCACCTAACTGCTAATGTGCATCTCCTTCCAACACATGTTGTGCAGCACTATGCCCACCAACTGTTCAGTGCAATACCTATGCATATATGGCAGCCAGCCAAGATCACCTATGCATTGCAAACAGGCCTACTAGTCAAATTAACAACCTGAATTTAGAAAAACTGCACTGTTTTCCCTCTTCAAAGCAAGCCTAATAAGTAGAGCATAGACATTTCAAGCTTGCATTTCAAAAGAAATATCAAAGAACCAAATTAAATGAAAACATTCAAAAAAAAAAAAAGCACCATGTATATGTGATCAATGAACACAAAGAGCATATGTAATAGCCTAGGAATGGTAGCATTGCAACAGGTTGCATTATTACATAAGTAATTTACAAGCTAAAAGTGTTGCTGTAAAAACAATAAAAACAGTCAGCTCTTAGTCACACCCTGGTCCTTGGTCATCTAGCTTCTTATGCAATATTGATGTAAATCAATACACGTAAAATTCTATACATTTCCACATTCTAAAGAACCGAACTCGAAACAACCCCTTGGCTTTTGCTGATGTCTAGCATAGTATTTCATCGTGCCCTTATCCATGTAAAATTCCATGCATATTTCTAGCCTAGAGAATCTTCGTAGTATCTGGTACGACTTCCTGGCCATGCTTTCAGTGACCAAAGAATTGAAAAATATTGTCATCTTCTTTAGCTCTGTAGCCTAGCCGAGTAGATGCTTCAGAGAGAGAACTTCATGCTCAGATCCTCTCAACTCAGTGATTTCAACTTCTTGGAGGTGGTTCAACAAGACTTCCTCGAATTTCCAGTCTTGTTGATCGTCACAAATGCAACCAGGTGGACAAGCAGTTTGTTTCTGAAACAAGGATCGATCATAGTAGCTTAGTAAGGCTAACTGATTAAGGGTTGAAATTAAAAATTATCAGATTTCCCAAACGTGTTATCAAGACAACATCAACGTTGGAAAAAAAAAAGAATTTCACGCCTAGACATATCATATTAGTCTGATACCATCGGATTGCAGTAATATAATTGTTCTAATGAGCTAAGAAAAACTGGTCTAGTAAAAAATTGTTTTTATTAAATACCACAAATCCTCCAGTATCATGCTATTAACATTCAACATCACATATTTAAGAAGATTTTCAATGGACCTTACAAATTAGGTTATAGAATAGAGTTATGGGGACTCCGAAAAATCGTGTTCCCAGATCTTACTGTTATCTCCTAATTCCTATTTGTATTAACAAGATCAAGCCTCCCATACAACGACCCGGCCTGTCAATTTAATCCCATGATTTCAAAGATGCTGACAATAATATATATATATATACACACACACACACACACACACACACTAACACAACACATATTTGCAACCGAAATGTTATTACCACTCAGTAAAAACCCAAATGTAGAGCAAAGTGTCATCATTATAGGACATAGTTATATCAGATGAACACTGCAACAAAAATATAAGCATGCAACCAATGCCTGGGGCCACGGCATATCAGGCTTTGTTGAAGCGAGAAATGCAAATGCATATATACATAAACAACAGATAACTTTAATTACCTCCAGCTCCAGACTTTTGCCAGAAATATGCAGAGTCAACTTTCTTATACTAGAACACAACCTGAGAACATGGAATAAGCTGGCCCCAAAGGCATGCCCGTTTGAAATTACAGACAGGTTCAGGAATGTAACGCCTGGCAGCATTTTCATGTTTTTCAGTAAGCATGGTTTGTTGTTAATGTCCTGTGTCCATTGGAAATCACCATAAAAACAGGGAACCATGTCAGTTTCGACAGAGTCAGAAACATCTCGTTAAGTAGGTTCACAACTTCACATTGGACTATTTGTTCAAAATTCCAGTTTTTGTATGCCTATTAACAAAAACTTTGGACCTCACTTCTCACCAAGATATATTAACAAAGGGTACGGTGAAGATTAATTGATTGGTCTGAGAAATGTTTCAGGGACATGAGCAAAGGAAGAAGAAAAAAGATGAAAATTTTCATGTATGGATTTATCATCATCTATACAATCAGGAAATTTCATTTTCAAAATAGGGTGCCAGAGTCACTTAATTTCATTTCCAAAAAACAGGAAATTTGTGTGAATGTAATGTTCAATGGCAAAGGCAGGCATGCCATGATGAACTCACTGGTGGCCGGGTGGACGAGTGTGAGGCTAAGTGTTTTGATGTTGTTGAAGCAGCGGAGGAGCTCAAGGCAACCTTTGTTGGGCCAATTTCCATACACCAAGAACAAGTCGGGGCACACTGCCTCGAGATGCTTCATCTTCCCAAGCTGGACGGACCTCCGATCGAACGGATCCCCCCACTTGAGCTCCTTCAGCTGACGCGCCGTGATGCTGGCGACCGACCGTCGTCGAGGCCAGTGCGGGTAGAAGCAGAGTAGCACTTGCAGGTGCTCCAGGGCCGGCGCGACGATGGCGAGCTGCCGCAGGTCGCGCACGCGGGTCAGCTCCATGTGCCGGAGGGAATCGGAGCGGACGGTGAAGTCCTCCAGCCCCCGGGCGTCGATGACCTTGAGCCTCTGCAGGCACGGGCACCGTCGGGAGGAGACGGCGTCGCCGAGCGCGCACGGGCCGCCGCCGGGGAGCTGGGCGTTGATCAGGCTGAACTCGGTGAGCCGGCGCGTGGCATGATGAGGCCGAGGCGACCCAGGTCGAGGGAGACGCTGGTGGCCCTGTCGAGGCAGGGAAGCTCGAACGCGCATCGTCCCTGGGAGTCGTCGTCGTCTCTGGCCGCCGCGCCTCTCCGGCGGGGACGCTCGTCGAAGGCGTTTCTTCTCCCCTCGTCATCGTCGTCGTCGGTGTCTCTCCCCGCCGGCACCTGGTTGGTGAAGATGAGGCACCTGGAGAGGCGGCGCGCGGCGACGCGGAGCCACGCCGCCACGGGCTCGGGGGCGGCGTCCTGGGTCGTCACGTCGAGGATCCTGAGGTCCGCTTCGTGGGCGACCAGCTCCGACACGATGAGGCCGGGCTCGGAGGAGAGAGGGACGAGAAGCGGAGCTCCGGGAGCAGCGCCCAGAGGCGGCGCCAGCGGCTGGAGAGCACGCTGGTCCGACCGGCGGCGGCGGCGTCCCCAAGGCCCGCGAGGACGTGGAGCAGGACGTTGTTCGGGAGCGCGCTCAGGCGGTCCACGACGGCTTCGTCATCGTCGGAGGGCTCGGTGCCGAGGTGGCCACCGCCGCTGAGGCCTGGCTCCGTCGTCTTCATCGGACGAAGGCAATTGGCGCGAGTGGCGAAATTTTTGCATTTTGGTCCCTTTCGAAAACATTTTTTACAAAAAGACTCCAGCCAAAACGTTTGCTGAAAATAGACCATTTTTAGCCGTCTTAGAACATGACGCCAAGGTATGAGGGTCGGCGTCGACTGACACGACACCGAGGTCTTGTCACGTCACGGACGACCCCAGTCGACGGCGACACGGTGGCGCATGGGGTCCGACACGTCGACGTTGTGTCAGCCAACGCCACAGGCCCAACCTCAGTGCGGTGGGACTACACGCCGAGATATTGGCACCATCCAGCGCGCGGCCCAGGCGGCCCAACAACGCTTTGTGGCCCAATATCTCGGCGCGGGGTCACTTAACGCCGAGCCACCAGGCTCGCCGCGGCCCGACTCAACGCCGAGGTCTAGACTCTTGAAGCCGCGCCGCGACCCCCTTCTTGTTCCTCCCTCCATTCTGAAACCACGCCGGCTCTGCTCTTCGGCGCCCCCACGCCCCCACGAAACCCTAACTCCCAAAAGCGACCCTAGGTGCCCCGATCTCGTCTCCCGAAGCTTCCTCGAGGTAATGGTCCCTCCCCTCCTCCAATCTATCCGCGTAGATGTGCTTGCATTGTCTCTAATCATGTAGAATCATGGGTGTATGATGTTTTGTTATATGTGTATTTGCATTTGCAAAATATATGACTTAGGTTGATTGAGTGCATTTTTGTTTAACTGTTTTATGTGTTGAACATGTTAGGTTAGTTTGGCTTCTAGTTATTTCGGTCATTAGGGTTCTTTGTTTATTGTAGGTGTTATTAGGGTTAGTTATTTGTTGGTCATTAGGATTAGTATGTATTTTAGTTATTTGTTGATCATTAGATTTCAATTTTTATGACTAGAAATGATTATGTTGTTGGGGTTGAAAAAGATGAAATGATATATTTTAGTTTCTACTTATTGGATTGAAATTCGCATGATATATTGATATGTGACGCTACTTGTTGTGTGATGGCTGTAGATGGATAAATTAGTGAGGTTGCATCATGGAGGCCGTATTGTTAGGACAAGAGATGATAGTTTGGAATTTCTGGACATGTGTGAGGAGTTGTTGATTTTTTTCTAAAACACTATCTTTGACCCAGTTAGTGGAGTGAGTGAAGGTTAAGTTAGGCTAGAATGAAGGAGACGTGCATGTTCAGTTTGAAGGTGTCATAGATGTTGGGTCGTCGAAGGGTCCTCGAATCAAGCGGTTCCTCAAAATTACAAGCGAGTCTGAATGGAATGATTACAAGGCAGTTGTATTGGCCTCAGAAGTGCGATTTTTGGATTTAGTAGTAAGTAAGGAGTCCGGCTTAGGAAATGATAACTTCAAAGCATGCCTATCTTCCCCCGCTCACATAGGTTATGTTCCTTTGTCTGAAGAAGAAATACTTGTCACACAACTAGACTACGGTGGAGATGAGGAGGAGAATCCGGTTGCCGATGGTGAGGGCAATCATCATAGTTATGAAGAGGATGATGATTATGTAATTGGTGATGCAGAAGAAGGTTTGGACGACGCTAGCGGGGACTTTTCTATTGAGGATGAGTTTAGCGACGAAGATGATCTTAGTGGTGAAGAAGACTTTGGTGATGCTAGGGCTACGAACCGTTTTGACATGGAGATAGCTGGAGATGATGAATCCTTCGTAGAGGAGATAGCCGAAGACTCTGATGACGATCGCCCTGTTGGCCGTCTTAATTTTAGGGAAATAGAGATATTGTCTAGGGTCTTGCCTTGGAGAGATCCACTAGTTGGTGATTTTGAGGACCTTAGCCATGGTCACAGGGCAGTAGCTGATGGTGGGCCAAGTGATACAACAGTGCCTGATGTTAGCGGTTGCCTCATCATATGGAAGGGCATATTGTTTGCTACCATGGATGAGTTGAAATTATGGTTGCAAGAGTACTCCATTGTACACAACCGACCTTTTAGGGTCATCAATTCATTCAAGGAGAAGAGGTACATTGTTGCTTGTGAAGAACAACAGTGTGGTTGGAGAGTATGTGCTAGGAAGACGAAGGCAGGCAAATGGAAGATTACCTTAGTGAAGCAACCACATGTTTGTGCCACTGCTAAGGCTGAAGAGAACCATCTACAGCTCAATTCTAGATTCATTGTAAGGCAGTTATGCCCCGTGGTGAAGCATATGACAACCATTACGGTGTCCACATTGGTTGAGATCATCTTCCAACGGTACAATTACTATGTCAAGTATGGAAAAGCATGGAGGGCAAAGCAGCGTGCACTGGAAATAATATTTGGAAATTGGAAAGAAGCTTATGAGCGCCTCCCGGTAATGTTGAACGCAATGAGGGCTGTAAATCCTGGGATGCACTTCGAGTATTTACCTAAGGAGGGTGAAACAAGGAATGGTAGCCAGGTATTTGGAAGGGCCTTTTGGGCGTTCGGGCAGAGCATCGAAGCATTCAAGCATTGCAAGCCCGTCATCTCAATTGACGGGGCCTTTCTTACAGGGAAATTTGAAGGCACAATGCTTGTTTGTATTGGGACAGATGCAGAAGACCAGCTTGTGCCATTGGCCTTTGCGATTGTTCGGAAGGAGGACACGGATAGTTGGTGTTGGTTTCTCAGGCTAGTTAGACAAGTGGTAATTGGTCTGGGACGTGATGTTTGTGTGATATCTGATAGGCACGCTGGCATTCTGAATGCCGTAGAACAAGAGATTCCTGGTTACGGCCAAATACATCACCGGTGGTGCACCAGACACCTTGCTCAGAATCTTATAAGACGTGATCACACAAAGGACAACTTCAAATTATTTGAGGAGGTTTGTAGGCAGCAAGAGGTTCAATTATTCAAAGACAAGCTAGATGACCTGAAGTTAGCCACAAATGTTGATGGCAGGCAATTCTTGAGCGAGTTGATGGCGTCGAAGGATAAGTGGTCACTTGCATATGACACCGGAGGTTGGAGATGGGGCTTCATGACTAGTAACATGGCAGAGATGTTCAATAGCCTTCTAAGAGGTTGTCGTGATCTGCCTGTGACTGCTATTGCCTCATTCACCTTCTACAAGTTGAATGCTTGGTTCGTTTCGAGGAAGAAGCATGCGAGGTCTCTATGGACAGCAGGCAAAGCTTGGCCACTTTTAGCATCTCAGGAACTAGCTTTCTCAAAAAAAAAGTCTAAACGACAAAAGGGTTCATGTTTCGATCCGATCAACCATGGATATGAGATTCTAGAGGGTGGTGGAACTAACATTGGTGGTGAAGACCGGGGTGCTCGAAAACATAAAGTAGTGATCAATGAGAACAAGTGTACGTGTGGAAAACCGACCATATACCATAGGTGAAAGTGCATCTAGCCCTTTAGTGGGTTTTGGATGATTGAATGACAACGTGGTTAAAGGTCTAACCCATTTGCTAAGTGTGGACAGGTAATAGGTTATTTCATAGGTACTTAATGAAAGCCAAAATGATGTGTTGTTGTATAAACAATCTAGTTCAAGCACAAGACAACAATGTAAATGGAATTCATGCAAAGGCTTGTTTATTGTGGGATTTCCATGTGCTATGTGAAAGCAAGCTTGTGAGAATTAATTAATGAGACATAAGGGATTGCATATGGAATAGTCTCATATTTGAAGCTTGCTAAATTGAAATGAAAAAGATAACAATACATGAATGAATGATTCAACACAAGATGTGACTTGATGGCTTGAGATGGTGAAGATAGCAAGGAAAGGCTTTGAGGTACTAAGCAAGGGTGAAGGGCAAGCGACGGCTTGGCGGCCGAAGAACCTAGCTAGGGTGAAGAAGAAAGTACTTGCATTTAGTTGAGGTACTAATCAAGCTATGATGGCCATATTTATGTGGATGGTCAAATCACTATTGGAGTGCTTGATGGAAGTGACTTGATACATTTGGGATTATTCAAATTTGATGAATGGAATCAAGTCACGTGCTCAAGATGGCTATGCTCAAAGTGAAAAAGATCAAAGTTGACATGTTAGCACCCTCACTTGATGAAGTTTGGAATACACGGCTTCGGTTGAAAGAGAACAACTCAAAAGGTTTAAATTCGTTATACATTTGAATTTGAGTAAATAGGAATGCCGTACTATTAAGAGGGATGCATCATGTTGATAGATAATGTTTCATAAGTGCTCAAGCCAACCCATGTGAGTTTTGAGTAGTTGAGCGACAAAAGAGCTAACTTTATTTTTGCTGGTCTGGCAATATCGGACGTGTCCGGTATTCATACCGGACGTGTCCGGTATTTACCCAGCAGTGGTAAATTTGTTGTTCTAGGGTCGGTTCGTCGAGAGTTCCGACTGTCGGAAGTTCCGGCAAGGGTCGGGAGTTCCGACGACTCGCAATTTAAATAATTTGGAGAGTTCACTGTGGTGGTCATACCGGACGGTATGGATGACCAAAGGCCAACAACAGTTTTTAAATGTACCGAGTGTTGGGAGTTCCGACGTAAGTCGAAAGTTTCGACAGTCGGGAGTTCCGACATGTATCGGGAGTTCCGACACCTCAAATATTCTAACTCGGTTGCAATGGTTTTCAAATGTGATGAGGATCGGGAGTTCCGACATAAGTCGGGAGTTCCGACGTAAGTCGAGAGTTCTGACGGTCGGAAGTTCCGGCATTCATCGGGTGTTCTGATGCCTCACAACTTCACTGTAACTTAGTTACCGTTGGCGCAGTGTAAGTCATACCAGACGTGTCCGGTATGCATACCGGACGTGTCCGATATTGCAACGGCTATAAAACGGCTAGTTTTCCAAAGGGGGCTATAAATACCCCAAGCCTCCACCTTTTGAGGCTGCTGATTCTGCTGAGATAGACACACGTTTTTGAGCCTTGCCAACTCTTCCAACCCTCTCTTAGTGAGTGTGTGATCCAAATTGCAAAATCAATTTGTGGGTTAAGAGAGAATTTGAAAAAGAGAGCAAGCCACCACTTGATCACTTGTGCATATTGTCAATCTCATG